TATATATATATATATATATATATATATAAATATATAAATATAGAATATAAACTACGATAAAATATATTGGTTTGGTAAATTAGTATTATAAAATATAACATATCCAGTTTAATTCTACAAGTGAGTGTGGTAATTGGTATAAATATGAACAGGAATAAATTCTTACAATCATTAATTTGGGTTACTACAAGGGTGAAACTGTTAAAACGATAAACATGAAGGAGTGAAATGCAAAATGCTTACTCAGGAGCACGCTAATATCGCTTCACTGTATCCCGCCCTCCTTTATTCCTTAAAACCCTAATCTTCAAACATTTCTCGCTTCTACGCTGTGGATTGTGGCTTAGTCTGCTCTCGATCTTCCGAGGTATGCTCGGTCACATATATTCACATAAACAGGATGTTCTAATTTTATATCCTTTCCGATTTCCCTTCTCGTCAATGCAAAGAGTGTTTGGATTATATAAATTGATGTCAGTTAGTGCGAAGTTGCTTTGTGTCTTGTTCCTGTCGATCAAGCTATGGTTTTGTGACTGATGTTGTTTTGCAACTGAATAATTACAAGAGTTTTAAGTTTTTCTCTTTTACCTGTTCCCTTATTGTCCCTGCAAAGAATGTATGAATTGTGCAAATTGATGTTAGTTCCAATTAGATGCAAGAGGTGCTTGTTTCTTATTCTTGTCTGTCAGGCCTTTGTGTTTGTGGCAGAATATTTGGTTTTACTGGGAATATAGTTTTCTTTTTCAGGGACAATGAGTCGATCGAGTAGGACACTTTATGTTGGCAATCTTCCGGGCGATATTCGTGAGCGTGAAGTGGAAGATCTGTTTTACAAGGTGCATATGCTCTACTTGGATTCCTACATTATTGGATATGATTTCATAATGCTTAAAAACAATACAATAAACTAAAATAAAGTGTTTGAGTAAAATGGGCCCAAACAGAGTAGAGTTAATATAGGGAATTCATTGTTATTGTTGTACTTCAAAATGCTTGTGTATGTGTGTAATTTTGCTGTCGCAATTTTTAAGATTTCAGCTCTTAGAAACTTATAAACTCTTTGATGTGTGAGTGCAGTATGGCCCAATAGCACATATTGAGCTGAAAATTCCACCAAGACCCCCTGGTTATGCTTTTGTTGAGGTGAGGTTGAGCTGCCTTTTCCTATATATTTCGTTAAATCAGCCTGCCTACGCCCTTCAAGCTATTCTGACCTTTATATTGGTGGCAAACTTTAACAGTTTGAAGAAGTTCGTGATGCTGAAGATGCTATTCGTGGTCGTGATGGCTATGATTTTGATGGGCACCGTCTGAGGGTTGGTCAAATGTGTATTAGCTTATTGTCTAAACAAACTCACTAGTTGTTTCCTTGTTGGATGCTGATTCTTTTAAAATTGCTCATACTGGCAGGTTGAGCTTGCACATGGCGGGCGTGGTCAGTCGTCAAACGATCGTTATGGTGGTGGTGGTGGTGGTGGTCGTGGTCAACGTGGTGGAGTGTCCAGACGTTCTGATTATCGAGGTGTGCCTCATGGTTTATGTGCTTTGTACATTGTAGTACGTTGCATTGCATTTTGTGTTGTTTGATATTTTTTGTTGCTTTTCAGTGAAAATTACAGGATTACCCCATTCAGCGTCGTGGCAGGATCTCAAGGTGAGTTGGTGTCTTCGAGTTGTGAATATAGGGACCATACAGAGAACTTGATCCTCTTTTTCCCCTAGAGATGGCAATAGGCCGGGTTAGGGCGGGCCAAGCCTTGACCTACTGAGATTTCGACCCGCCCTACCCTGCCGTGTTTAGCATTTCTTAAAAAAATTGGCCCGCCCTGCCCCCGTTTTTGTTATCTTTCATTTCTCCTCTTTGGTTTCCACTTTGCAATGCGAAATTTTTAAAAACTTCTTTTGCAATATTTTTCTAACACTAATACTGTAATTCTTTTATGAATTTGCTTAAACGTAAATTGGGCGACTTTCCAGATGTCTCGAAAAAAGAACTCAGTTATGTGATTTTAATTCTTACACTGTAAGTGTTTTTTTCAGTTAAGTTACGTATCTTAACGTTACCCAGTAGTCAAAGGTTAACATATTCATTGCATATTACATAAGCAGTAGCTAATCTTTCACGTTATAGTATAAATCTTTAGGATGAATTTTAGCTATCCTTCTTTTTGAAATTGACAGGATGAACTTTAGCAATCTAGCAAATACTATTTGTACCATTGGTAAAACAAAAGAGAAATAGTTAATAGGAGTAATATAATATCTTGAAATAAAATGTGCAGTTCTTACCACAAATTAGCAAATGACAGAAACAAACGCAATGCACAAGTGCGTATATAGCAGCAGGGTACATACAGGCCCTGTAAACCACCGAGCAAACTGCAATTACACTTGACCCGCAACCTGCCTGCCCCGTTATGTTTTATCAATAAATAAGATTTGCCCCACCCCGCCCCGTTTAATTGTTTCCCTGCCCTGCCCCAGTAACTTTGTGCCCTGCCCCAGTAACTTTGTGCCCTGCCCCAATTGCCATCCCTATTTTCCCCTCAACATTGTCCTGTAATTTTTGAATATTCGTAACCTGTGTTTCTTATGTAGGATCACATGCGTCGAGCTGGGGATGTTTGTTTCTCCCAAGTTTTCCGTGAACGGAGGGGTAAGATTATAAGCAGCTAAAGCTAGATTTACTTTTCTCTCTTTAAATTGCCAAGAACTGCTCCATGTGCAATGGGGACCTACGATGACACACAAAGCAATGAGTTTCTCATGGGAACCTACAATGATATGCACAGCCATTGTACTGATATGATTTGGAAAAAGACCAAAATATGGAGAATTTTACATTGACACACTATTCCTCTTCCTGCTCATTGTGGTTTACACAAAGTTGCGTGGACTCTTCGATTTTGGTACCGTCTCCGTCCCGATACGAGATCGGGACGGGAGCGGAAATGGGATACGTCCCAGATTCGGTCAACTGACTTCGAATACTTTGACCGGAGTCCATCGATAAATTTGGGAGAAAAATTAAGATTTTGATTTCTCAAAATCAAAAATGAAACAGATTTAGGAGAATGAAAGGATAATGTCCATCTTGGAGAATGAAAGTTTGAAATCTACAATATTCATGTAAGTTTTTCACTGAATATCTCTCAAAATTTACAATATTTTTATAGCTTTATTCTTTATTAGCCGAATTCCCGCCCGTATCCATATCCGGATCCGCACCCCCAAATCTTAAAATTTAGATTTTGCCGAATCTAATACTTGGATCCGTCCCCGAGTCCGAGCAACTTAACATGTCATGGCAATTGGTTAAGGATAAGATTTTCTTTTTATCATAGAATAATGAGCTCATAATCAAGTAGAACATTAAGGGCAAGCGTACTGTTGCTGATTATTAGTATCATTCTTTTGATTTGTAGAACTTTGATAAGTATAACTGCGGGTTCATCCCTCGGTACATCCAATGAACTTGGAAAAATACAGAGAAGAGAACTATGGATTCATAATTTGGGTTTTTTGAAGTCTCGCTCTCTGTTGTTATCTCCAATGAACTTGGAAAAATACAGAGGAGAACTATGGATTCATAATTTGGGTTTTCAATTCTCCCTCTCTATTGTTACCTCTTATATAAGCTGATATGTCTTCCTTTGTCTAGACAAAATTTGTACTGTCTTCCAATACTCGTGAGTTTGGTGCTTGCTATGCATGATAATGTGAAAGAGTTGGCCATCTTCGACATGCTAAAAGCTGAGTAACTTGGTTGAGCCGTTTTTTGGTTGATTCTACAGAGTGGACAGGATAACCCGTTCCGAGGAGGATGTGATTGTTACTGAAATTATTAATCACATTCCATATACCAGATTAATGATAAAATAGGTGGTCTGAAATTCCGGTCCGTCTGTAGGAAGCATCTTGATTTTCATATTACTTTGTCATTTCTCTTTTGTAACTTATTCTGATGTCGGAAATTTGATTGGACTTTCAGGGACTACTGGTATTGTGGATTATACAAACTACGATGACATGAAATATGCTGTAAGTCATCTGCTTTTCTTTTCCCTTTTTTTGGTTTCCTTAACCTTGACGTTGTTCATAATATTTGATATCCATTATATGACTAAGAGGTGCAGCTAATATCTTTTTATGTGTATAGATCAAAAAGCTTGATGACTCTGAGTTTCGGAATGCCTTTTCTCGTTCAACAATTCGGGTATGACGCATTTCAATTACTTGAATTATACTGTTGATGCCTTCTTTTGGTTATTCTAGAAACCTCCTCCTCCTTGTAGGTTAAGGAATATGACCACAGCCGCAGCCAAAGCCGCAGCCGAAGCCGCAGCCGTTCTTACTCCAGAGGAAAGAGTGGCAGTAGAAGCCGTAGCCGAAGTAGAAGTGTCAGTCGTAGCAGGAGCAAAAGGTCATAATACATTACACATTTATGTTTGGACTAGTGGTTTTACTTTAATGCAATTATGGCCTTATTGGTATCTTTTTCATAGCAGCAAATCTCCTAAAGTTAAATCTTCAAGGCGCTCAAGATCTCGTTCAAGGTCCGTCTCTTCTCGGTCCCGTTCTGGGTCAAAAGGGCATTTTATCTCAAGGTAATATTCTGCTAACCCTTTCTTTTCTTGCAAGTCTTTTATTCATTATTTGTTGATTAGAATATTTTCAATTTTCTCAAGTTCTTTCACACTGGAATTGTCGTTGATGTAAGATCTTTGAATCTGAAGTGCTCTTGCAGTGTGATGCACTTTGCCCTTTATCTTCTATCCTGTTAGTTTGATGGCTCACTGAAAAACTCACCAATATTGACTCTTGATGCTCTAGTCTTCTTTGCTTAACTGGTTCTCAATGGCCTCTCCTTTTGTCTTTCTGAAAAATATAGCAGCAAGAAGCTCTTGTCTCGCATGTCATGCATAAAACTGTCGAATCCAATTTTAAGTGTTTTGAGTTATATAGTCCTTTCAGTATCAGTACGAGTCTTCTGGTAATTTGTCAAATGGTGGTGCATCGGGTGAATTGTAAGTTGTCGTAGCTCGTAGGCCAAATTTTTTGCAAAGGTTGCATTTCATGGGGCAATCTAGTCTGGTAATGTGTAGTTCTGCTTACTCTGGTGGGAATGAATAGTTACATTTGTGTTATTTTCTTCTGCTTCAGGCAGGATTTTAGAGGGGGGTTTAGTACTTGCAATGGCATTAGCAAACCATTATAATGAACCAAATGAGTACGAACATTACAGATGTTAAACTTTTTCCTTTTCTTGCCCCTATGAAAATAGAATTCATAATCATTTATTTCCTGCTATTTCAGGATTTTCTTACTATGCTCGCCAATTCAATGTGTAGCCATTCATTAGAGACTGGTCATTATGATAGTGTATGTCTTTTCAAGCAAAGCTAGAAATTGAAAAGGTTTGGGGCTGAGCGAAAAAGAAATTTAAAAGGGTTTTAAGGTGTTTTGAGGCGATAGTTGGTTCATTTGCTTTAATTCAACTTGGAACTGTGTTCTAGGGAAAACGTACTGCATTGTCATTTCCTATATAAGTATGAAAAGTCACCTTCTTTGTTTTTATAGATGTTGGATATATGCGGCAGTTTGTGGATTTTGCATATTAGGATCTTGAGTGGATATGCATATGGTCTTGCCTGCAACTCTTTTTGGTTGTGGAGGTACGATGTTTTCTAGATGGCAACTTTGGGTCCTTTATGATGTCTCTGATCTAATGAGCATCGTGAAATGTTCCGTGGGTGCTAGATTGGGATCATGAAGATCATGGATTCTGTGGTGGAGCTGGACTGGGGAACTAACTGCCACCTGAATTTGGATCACCACCTATTTGTGGTAGATGCATTTTCTACCAAAGTGAAGAAAGACTCTAGTTCATTCTTTTCATTCCTGGTTATTGGTCTCTTNATCCTGCTTATTGGTCCCTTTGACTGCACACATTTAAACTATTACTTAAGTCTTCACTGGGTAAATTGCATTGCTTCATACATGTCATATTTTCCACACTGGATTCTGCCCACAATGCTACTTTGATAATGGTCATGCTGATGTGGAAGTGGAATCGAGGCAGTTGGAGGAATTGTTAAGTGGCAGGACTGGGATATTAAATTAAGTTCTTTCTGGAAATTTTGCAGATCTCCATCAAGGTCCAGATCACCAGCACCATCTGTAAGTTAAATCTCTGTTTTGGAAGTGAACTGGATACCTCAAAATCAAACATGTCGGGATCATCCGTCTTGTCTTACTATGTCATTGTTTTTTGAATACCTGGTCTTTTTAAATTGGAATCTCTCTTTCTTTGGCTACATTTCTTTGTTTTTTTCTCAACTGTTTAATTGCAGCGCCCAAAACATTTGAGTAAAAGTCCAAAAAGACGCAGTCCCAGCCAAAGCCAGAGCCGGAGTCGTAGTCTTAGTCGTAGTCGGAGTAGAGGTTTATCCAGGTCTTACTTCTGATCCTTGTGATATGTTATGTTGATCATTTTAGTGATTGGATGGATATTTTATTGGAAGTTTTGCTATTTTGCAGTTAAGATTGTTGGAGTCATCTCTTGACTTGGGTTGCTGTGATTGCGAGTGCCATCGTGCCTGGAAGATTAGTTGCATAGCCAACAGTTCGGGAGTCTTAAGTGCCCGAAAGAGTGTTGTTCTCCTTACATTAAAGGATTTCTGTATTATTGAACGCCAGACGATAATAATTGTTATACTGAACGTGGCATCTCTAAGACTTGGTAAACACTGCAATATTATAGTAGAACTTTATAGGCTTTCTAGCTGCGTGATGGTAAGAGATGGAACTAATTTCCTTTTTACATTCACATTATGAATTTCCTTGATTTGCAGATTGTCCTTGTTCGCCAACTGGGGTCCGTGGTGTTCATTTTCAGAAGCACTTGTACTATTATGTGGCCAACAATATTTTTAATCACAAATTCTTCAAATATGCGTTGGGATAGTATTTGAGTAAGAAGTTTAAAAATGATTCTGAAATTGAAGTTACAAAATACTATTTAAAGTAGCATTGAGTAATATATTTTTGAACTACCTTCCTTCTGGTAAGGCTGGACTTTCAACAAACAAAAGCTTGATTTCATCTCGATACTATTCTATTGAAGTACAATACTATTACTGGCCTGATCAGCCACGTTTGGTTAGAAAATTTTTCGCCAGCCATGATGGATTGAGACGCATATTTTAGTTTTCAAAATCAAATAAAAAATGTTACTTGAAACAATAGAAAATCCTATTTTTTGGTTTATGAAAGAAGGTAAAGCTAATATTCACACAACCTTTTCCCAAAGATTTCCAAAATCTAAAATTTCAAGAATTAAAACAAGACCAAATTCAAATGATACAAGGGAGGCAAACTATATGATCTTGTGTTGGCAAATCGGGATATGTGAAGATACGTTTGTCCATAAATCGATGCAGCATGCAACTGCCATCAGTCGTTTCATCTAAAACAGCGAAGAAAATATGTGTGTGGCCATTTCTTGAGGGGCCTCATCTTTGTGTGGACGAGAATTAGTGAGAGTTTGGCCAAATTGGGATCCACACATGTGCCATGTTGATGAGGTTGAATATTGGAGAAAGTAGGTCCTCCGCATGTCAGTATGTGGCTTGGTTTTCTTTTTCTTTTTTCTAATACCGGTGGTACGTGCACTTTTTCAAATTGATGGAGTATCGGATAATTCTGTCCACTATAATTAAGAAAGATGGGAAAAATTCTATCTAATTATTTTTCCTTGTTCTGGTATTTGAACTGCCCGGCTTGGTTTCATCATCTTCATTATTTCATGGCAAATTTGAAAGTTCTGCAGTTTGTGTGTTGTCTGAAGCTATATTCCATTTAATGTCAGTCTCATATGGATCCCGACAAATAGTATAGTAGGCTAGTACTCCAGCATATATTGGAGGTAAGGGTGTTTGACGGGCTGGTTGATCCGGTTTTGGACCGGCCCCAACCGGTAGTAACTCGGACCGGACCGGTGATAGAGGCCCGGGTAGGGCTGGGTTTGGGTTTGGGGGTTAGGACGTTTACGTTTTTCATACCGGTTAACCGGACCGGTCAAATCCGATCAAAAGAAATTATTGTTGAAACGGTTAACCTGATCGGCCCGGACTGGTTCAACGGCTATTTTATGATTTTTTTTTTAAAAAAACTAAACTGACCGTTGTCGATGGTCAGCTTTCAATTTGGCCTTTGCCCAACGGATATTTTGCAAGAATAGCCCTTTTTGGGCAATTTTTTTTAAAAATAACACTTTTAGTAATTATTAATTTAGCCATTTGAAAAATTATAAATACATCCATCTTCTTCTTCATTTCTTCACTCATCTCTCATATCTCAAACTCAAATTCTCAATTGTCATTCTCTCGTTCTTCACCTAACTTGCAATCAACTATTTGGCTCTCATTTTTTTTTTTGGAAATTAATTTATCGTATTATTTATTATTTGAAGTTTGAACTTCAAACTTTGAACAATTAACGTTTCTTCTTGGTAACATTGGAATTGCGAAAATCATCAAATGTTTAATTTATTGCGGAATTCAGTGCACTCTCTCCAGCTCTTTCTCTTATTTACTATTTTATTTGCATATTTAATTTTTGTTAGTAGTTAAATTTCACAATATGTTTAATGCTGCAAAAAGAGTTTGTAATAAGGTTACTAATCGGGTTAATCGAGGAAATAGAAAAAGAGGTACTACTTCAACATCTAGTAATAATGTAAATGACTTTACACATGTTTTTGAAACATCATCTAATAAAAATAATCTAGATTATGAACAATTACAGGAAGATTTCGGTATAAAAGATAATGAATTAGAAATTGAAGATGAGACACCACTTACACCTAGTAGTGTTGGATTTGATAGTAGGGGTGGTGGTCGTGGTGGTAGTGGTAGACCACATGTGGCCCCGACTACTAATCAGAGAAAAAGAAGTATGGTTTAATTTTTTTTTGAGGAAATAGAGAATTAGAGTTAGATGCAAAATTTGTAAAGATGATTTTAAACATAAGACTGGAGGAAATTTAGGTGGGACTGAGACACTTAGTAGACGCATGAGAATTACTCATCCTATAGAATGATGCTCTAATTTAGATGAAAATCAAGGAACTCTAAACCATGGTACTGGATGACTTATGAAATATGATAAAATGAAGGATATGAGGAGTTAGCAAAATTCAAAAATGATTGCTTTGGATTGTCTAGCTTTTTCTTTTGCTTCTTCGTCATATCTTATCATGTATATTCAAAGGATTTGTAATCCTTTATTTAAAGGTATCCCTAGAAGTACTTGTAGATGTGATATCTTTAGACTTCATGGACAATATCAAACATACGTACGTTATTTGTTTGACCACCTTCCTTGTAGAGTTTCTCTAACTTCTGCTATTGGCCACACTGTAAATGAAAATGATTATTTGACAATTACATGTTATTGGATAGATAATAATTATTGTATGCAAAAACGTATTATCACTTTTAAATATGAAGAAGATCAAATTCATACTGCTATGTTTATAAGTACTACTATTTGTGAAGTTGTTGAATTTTATAATCTTAAGAAAAAAGTATTGTATATGTCTTTTGATAATGCTTCTAACATAATGCCGCAATTTCAATATTAAGACTGCATTTGCAATCACCACTTGACGAAAATTTTCATGTTAGGTGCGCATGTCATGTCTATAATTTAATTATTAAAAGTGAGCTTGATTTATTTTCAACTGAGATTACACATGTTAGAAGAACATTTGGTGTTATTCAAGAAAATAATAAACAATCTAGAATCAGGAAATTTAAGAATAAGTGTACGCATAACCTTAACCCCAGATGCCAGACGAAATTGTTACTAGATGGAATTATACATACTTATTTTTAAAATGTTGCTACTAGATTGCCGATAACTGAAGTTGCTAATGCGCATTGTACTGATCCAAACCGTATGTTAACAACTAATACTTGGAAGGCTATTAATGATGTTGTTAAATTTTTACATAAATTTTATACAACTACTGTTGAGTTTTCTGGAGCATATTACCCTACTGTTACTATAGCTTTAGTACATATAGCTGAAATTTCTTTTCTACTCTCTGAATTTAAGAAGAAAGAAAAATAGAAAGATGCTGATGAAAAAATGCAAGCAAAATTTAAAAAATGTTTCTTTCCAATTCCTCCAATTTACCTAATTGGTGTTGTTTTAAATCCTTCTATTAAGATGTCTGATTGTCACCAATTAATCAATGCTTTATATACTTATATGGAGATTGGATCAACTGAAACCCAAGATATATATTGTTGTATGAACAAGCTAAATGATTATTTACACAATTATATAATTATTATGCAAGTATAGTTGATGATGCTGCTCTTAATGTAGGCAATGTTAATCCCACTATGCATTGTACCACTTCTACTGCATCTGCTACCATGGATGAACATGAAGGCCTTGATGGTTTTAATATTTGGTCTACATTTTCTTCCACTCAAACCAATAACAGGAACATTGATAAACCTCAATTCTACTTGCAAAAGCAAAAAGAGCATCGCACAAAGGAATTTTTACCATTGGTATAGTGGCATGAGAATAAAAAGCAATTTCCTATTCTTTCCGCTATGGCTCGGGCCGTGCTGAATGTGCCAATTTCAACTGTTGCATCAGAGAGTGCATTTAGTCAAGCAAAACAACAACAAGGAGACACCCGTCACTCATTGGGAAGCAATGCTTTGGAAGTTTTAGTATGTTTCAGAGATTGGATTAGATCGGAACGAAGAAATCAGGGACGTGAAGATGTTGATAAACCAGAAGACGAGCAACTTGGAGATATATTAACACATGGTAACCCATCTGAATTTAACACTCCAGAAGATGGTCAAGAAGTTCACATTGATTATAAAGAACTTACTAAGGCAATACAAAACCTTTGAAGTTCTGAATTTATAATTTCATATTTAATAATTAAACTTTGAATTTACTCTTTTTTCGTTAATTTAGTTGTTGTTAAATGTAAACTTTAATTTGTAAATTTGAAATAAAAAAAGTACTTGCAAATTATAAATGCATTTTTTTTCCATCTTCATTGTATTCTATTATCTTAAAATTTTAATGAAATATTCAAAATTTCAAATATAAGGATTTTAAAGCCTTTGCATCCTTTATTCAAATACTCTTTTTATAAGATTGTTTTTTTGTTTTATATTTTTACTTAATATTAATATAATTTATGATAGTTATACGAAATACAAAAAAATAAAATAACCTAAATCTGGCCCGTCCCAGCTCCTTAGACCCATAACCGTTCCGGTTCAGTTTTTACTCGAATAGGCCCGGACCCGTTAAGTCCGGTTTGGAAAAATTGGTAATCTGCCCGAATTGGTGACCCGTCGATCAATTATTTTCTCAACCCGGCCCACCCATTAGACACCTTTAATTGGAGGAAAAGATAAAATTAGAAACAAGGTTCCCTTCAAATTGGTTAAGTTTCCTTCTCCACTTTTAACTTACTAATAAGACTATAATGAGGAAAATTGAAACATGATTTATTTGATACTCCATTTGTTAGTTGTAAAAAGCAACATACTTTTATTTTTATGTCCCCAAACCAATACAAAATAAATTTCTTTGAAAACCTATAAAATAAGTACTATTTAATAGACTTGTACTTGGAACATTACTAGAGTGAAAAAAGAATCATACACGTAACTCAAAACAGACCAAGTATATATAGAATATATCTAAAATTTTCATATAAGGAATCTTGATAAACAACTAACAAACCAGGCACTGAAAATCATCCTCCACTGCTCCACAAACTGCCAAAAGCCTTCA